CTCTTTAACTTTATTCGCTTTTGACGAGCAGGTATATCCATTACACTTTAATCTATCATTTTTTTCCAATTTCCTACTGTAACAAACTGGATCAGAAACCCAGGGTGAATTGACCCCAGCAGCGGCCCAGAGAAACCGGCTAGAACTCCCTAATGCTCTCTGATCTCAACACGACTACCACCTGTGAGTCCGTAATATCTCGTCTCTGATATCACCAGGGAAAGACACGCTATGACAGTGGTCCACAATTACAATTTTATGGAAGCTATAGTCCAAATAAAAAGCACATCGAATGTTCTTCGGATAGAGAAAGCCGTCAGAGACAAAAATCAGCTAGCTAGCTAGCTATAATGCTTCATGGGCAACTAGAATAAACCATGTAATATAAATTATGAAATGAGGCATAATATTAGTAACTCGATAAAGGCACACACTGTATTTAGAACAGTGACTTATGGCGTATATTGCTGGTTTTAATTCATAGGTAAATGGAGTGCGTGAAATAAAAAGGGAGATATATTTAATTGGCTCTTATAAAATCGATAGTCCAAATAAACAGCACATCAAATGTTCTGCATTTCGACCAAGCCGTCAGAGACAAACGTCAGCCCGCTATAAGGCTTCATAAACATCACACGTTTCGCTATGATCATGAAGTACGGCAAAGGAAATAAACCATGCAGTATACATTTTTTAATTAGGTATAATATTAATAACTCATTACAATTACACAATGTATTTAGAACAATGGCTGGTGGCGTATACTGTTGCTTTTAAATCATAGGTAAATAAGTACGCGAAACGAAAAAGAAGACACATTTACAATGGCTTTTAGCCTATAGAATGTCTTAAAAGGTCATTGAATGTCATTTACTTGTTGAATCTTTTCACGCAATTTGCCTAAACTATAGTGCAGTTGTTTAGCTGTGATTAACTGTACGGAAAGGTACCACCTATATGCCTTGCTTAGTGGGTCTCTGAGTCCCTGCAAAAACGTATATTTGCAGCTCATATTGCCCAGGTATGTTGATAGAATAGAGAGCAGTTCACAAAGCATTGACCAACAAATAGATAAATCTGAAGAGTCGAAGCAATCATAGGTTTTTAGCAACTCATCATCAGGCCAGTAAGTTTGCAGGGATAATAAAAAACATTATACAGTTGGAGAGGATTAATAACTGTACTTCGATTACAACTCATCGTTTTCTAGCAAATAAAGCAAATGATTT